CTGAAGAAACAAAGTCACCTACATCTTGGATGCCCTGGGGGTAAGCAGATAAACATCACTGAGTAGAAACTGAATGAAGCGCATGAACACAGGAGTAAAGTGTTCAGCAGTTACAGACTACATGTGAACCTGATTAAAACCAATCGACGGCTTTCTGTTGTGTGTGTAAATCAACTAGAATAATCTGACTTTAGCTGCATCTTCAATCCATTCATTAGCAGAAGCTCAAACATATGACTGAGGCTTCAGGAGACATCTCAGCCGGCTGTGAGAAAGCAATAAGAGTGTGGAGAAGTTGAGAAATGCTGCACTTTATTCAGACGAGGAGCAGAAAACTCCAGACGGCAGCAAATGTGTATGAGGTTCAGGTAGAGACGTCTGTCTGGAGCATTTAGAAATATGCAGAATGTGCTGGAGTTTCTAAATCATATTGTTTTCATCATTGTTCTGTGTGTGTTCAATATTGCAGTTTCTTCATGAAGCTCCAAACATTTACCAGTTTTCAGTCTGGAGTCAGTGCTTCAGATCTAAACTCAACAAATCACGATTTCAGCAAATGAGGCTTCGTTACGTCTCACTGTTTCCAACCTTTACTTTCCACACATTTCAGAATGAGAAATGTTGATCTGGTGACACATGAACGAGCGTCTAACGGTTTAAACGGATGATTTTACTTACTTTGAAGTTTAACACTTATGTGTGTATAATAAAAGGGTAATGATAATTAATGGTTTCTTATTGACCTAGTATGCCAAATAAGTAACATTACAAGCACTACAATAAGAAAAGAACAGAAATTTTACAACCTTCATATTTAATATTGTTTATATATTACATGGATAGATTTCATTAAAAAAATGCAATTGGTTAGCAGTGTCATTTATTTACACAGTTGATCAGCAGACATCGCCAGCGATTCCAAACACTGAATCATTTCGGTTCAATTGATGGAGAGTTTGGTAAAGCTGTGTTTCTCCATCACTAAGTGAAGTGCTAGTTAATGAGTTGATCTTAACGAGGTTTAATTAGTGTGGGCAGGTGTTTGACATCAATGAGAGATGTTATAAAAGCTCCATTTGTTTCTGACTGGAAGAGAAAGAGTCTGAGAGTGTGATGGAGGAATGAGAGTGAATATTGAGTCAATGTGTGTTTGAAGAAAGAGAAGATGAATGAAAGAAAAGAGTCAGAAAGATGCCCTTCTTTTGAGGCTTTAGTTTGTTTCTTTTGTGGATTCAGTAGAGATGCGTCTCTTGATGTTTGGATGAAGTTCAGACTTTCATCACACTCATTCTCCAGCAGAAGAGACTCCAGCGTGACTGTGATCAACACTGATCCGGATCATTGAGCAGCTCTCCTCACATTTCAGCGTTTCACAATCATTACTGATCAATCAGACCTTTATTTAAAACACTGGAGCTTCTACAATGAAAGACTCGCTGTGCTCTTGAAACCATATCAAGGAAAGCTGGTCTGTGTTGTGGTTTTAAAGCACCGAATGACAGAAATCAAGAACAATATAACGCTTCAATCCAGGGATCAGCATGCATTGTGATTGCATGAGAAAGTAAACCATCTCTCTCACCGGTGTCTTTTATTACATCTGCCTTGTCTGAGAGGCCCTTGGTATCTGAATAATAATAAAACAAACAAGTTAGCTCTCATGTCAAGCCAAAATTATATAAATGTACATACAGGACATATAGATATGAAGCCTCAACGCACAATGGAAAGGAAAATGTAAACATACCAGTGATTTTCAGCCGGTCCATTTGAAGATCGAAGTACGCAACTTTGAGTCCTGTCAGTTTCTCCTGCTTAGTGACCATCAGTCTTGTGTAGGGCCTCAGTTTGTCAGATAGTTCAGGTTCCAGGTCCTCGAAGGGCTGGGCCAGCTTACGTTTGTGCGACATGGGCCGTTTCTGATGTCCTGAGGAACCAGGCAGACTCAGAAGGTCCACAGAGATCTCTGTGACGCGCCCCTCATCTGGCACCAGAGTGGAAGACAGTGCTATAGCTTCTTCTAACAGCTAGTCAACAGCATGGTCTGCCGTAAGCACAGGAAGAGGTATGCTCTCTACAAATGAGGTAGAAGCCACCATACTGCAGACCTCCACTTCCATTGCTGTGATCTTTGAAGCCAGTTTCTTGTCCATGTCGTTCAGAACTTAAATGTGAAATGTGTTTCTGACAGCAGATTCAGAGCTTCAGTGTGTGAAGCCCAAAGTATACTTCACTTTTTACACACACACACTAGGGTTTACATGCTGTGCATCATCAGAACAGTATGCTTTAATGTACATGCACCGCCTCATTTGTGTAACCGTGTGTATAATGTACTGCAGCTCGCACATGTGCTCTGAATTGTGTTACACTACTTAGTTTCTCCACAAGCTGTCAGCTCTGAACCGGCTCTATGAATCTCTATAGTGTGCTATCAAATGGAGTATACATTGAAAACTGGGTGTTCAACTGTGTGTGTGTGTGTGTGTGTAACTGAGAGGTCGACGCGCTCTTTTTCCTCTTCGCCAATCAGGACAGCCAAGGCTGCTTGGACAGCTGCCTCCCTGGCCTCCCTTTTGCTCGAGGAGCTCAGGGGGAGAAAGGAGCGGGCCCCAATCTTCACTTGGAAAGTGAATCTGAGAGACCGAGACACATGAACAGAGACACGTGATCTTCATGACTCTCTCTGTATGTGTGTGTGTGTGTGTGTACCTGGTATTTATCACGTTATGGGTGAGGGGAAAGGAGCGGGCCCCAATCTTCACTTGGAAAGTGAATCTGAGAGACCGAGACACATGAACAGAGACACGTGATCTTCATGACTCTCTCTGTATGTGTGTGTGTGTGTGTGTACCTGGTATTTATCACGTTATGGGGGACCAAATATCCCCACAAGGATAATAATACCAGTAAATGTTGCCCTTGTGGGGACATTTTTTAATTAAGTTTTTTGAAAATCTAAAAATGCAGAAGGTTTAGGTGTAAGGTGATTAGAATATACAGTTTATACAGTATAAAAACCATTACGCCTATGGGATGTCCCCATAATACATGGAAACACAACGTGTGTGTGTGTACCTTGTGTGGGGGGGGGGGGCCCGTTGGCTCTATGCTCTCAAAATGGACTCGCTCTCCATGAGCTCTTGCATATCGCTGGAGGTCAGGGAGGGAATGCCTTAAGACATTATCATACAGCCTTGACTGTCTCCTGCTGGTCCTCTAGAACAGAGAGAAACTCTCCATTAGATCATGAGACACAGAAAATGAAGTGGACAGGAATAAATGTGTCGTAAGGAACACTAATTTGTAGCAAAATATTCTAGCTAATACACGGTTTAATTTTCAAAGTATATTATTTTATTTATTTTGTATCATTGTTCATATCATCCTGTATGTTTGACACCACTAGAGAGTATAGGCTACTATATGACAAAATAGATTTATTGCCCCTCATAAACCCCCCTCCTCCTACCATAAATGGACACCTGTTTGGACACCTGTTTCTGTACACCCCCACCCATCTAAACCGGCCATCTGTTTATCCACCCCAATGATCCCATGGAATTTATGATTGTTTGGGAACGTGTTTTTGTGTGGGTTCATTGAAACTGTTTTTAACTGTGCTTTAAACTTTAAATTGTGAAACGTGGTATGATTATTAAACGGGGATAAGGGACGTTTTTATTAAAGTTTTCACACACACATACATTTCAAGAAAAACATCAAACTATATAGAAAATATATAAACCATGTAATGTCTGTGTTTCCAGAAAAGAGTAAAAACCAGGGGGTTAAGACGAATATTTAAGTGTTGTTAATTTAAAAACTAGTTTGTTACCAGTTAGAAAGTGAAATAAAAATGGTGACTTCTCACCATGATCTGAAACAAAAAGTACCAGATAGTTCGTTAAAAAGTACGTGCAGTCAAAATCTTGTAACATTACAATTTAAAAGTTTGAGTTTGTTACCTGTTAGAAAATAAAAATGGTGACATCTCACCGTGATCTAAAACAAAAAGCGTCAGATACGTTCGTTAAACAATACGGCAGTTACGTTTTTAAAAGTTTGAGAGTTTGTTACCGGTTAGAAAAGAGAGAAAAAATGCTGACTTATCTTACCATCTAAAACAAAACAAAAAATATCAGACCGTTAAGCAATAAGATACTTGGCAAAGTCTATGTTGCACTCTACCTTTACAATTTAAAACTGGTTAGAGTTTTTCACAAGTTAAACAAAATAAAAAGACCCTCTCATCTTACATGTTTTCCGTCAGTTCATCCTCACACGCTGCTGTCAAAACACCTCTCAGGCCACACCTACAAACCCAACCCCTAACAACGGTGGTGTGTTAATCACCCAAAACGGGGTTGTAACGTGTTTAAAAGGGTTTCTGTTGAGAATAACATCCTTAC